GTTTGGGTCATCAAGAATCAAGCCTTAGGTGTGCTCTTGAAGAAGCTATTTTTCTTCAGAGGTAAAAAAATTCATGGGAATATTGTATCTCAATTTTGAGTTTCTTGCTAATTGGTAATTTAGTTACTTTGCTACATTTTTTTTTTGATTGCTTTAAAAAGGAGAAATTTTTGGTTTAGTATTTTTCTTTGTAGCTCGGCTCGTTGTGGATTCTTTACATAAGAAGATTATGTATACAAAAAGGTCTTTTATTGTAGTTTAGGGAACATTTGCTGCAGTTTTGAGCTGGGCTGGTGTAATCAGGAGTTAGTATTTGAAGCTTATGGGTTCAGAATTTTAATTCTTTTAAGTTACTGGGTTCTAACTTAACAATTTGTGCATATTTAATAATTTTTTAAGACAAATATAAGGTTTGGACCAAAGCTACTGTGTTCGGCCGAACCTGTAGCCGAAGGGCTGGCTCCGCCCCTGGGTGTAATAATAGCATTTGTTGATTGAAGCAAATTACAAGAATAGGATTTGATGATTGCTTGTTTCCCTTATTAGAAAATAAATAAATAATAGCATTTGATGATTGTTGAAGGGGAGTCTCTGTTTGACCACGGATTCAGGCCGTGGAATCAACCACTGACCCTTCCCAGGTAGGCTTACTGCATCACACCCCTTGGGCTGCGGGCCTTCTAGTACTCTGTGTGTATGCGGGATGCTTCGTGCACCTAGCTTCCCTTTTTAGCATTTGATGATTGTAGCAATTTGCAGTGGTTTTTTCCTGAGATTCAGTTCTTGTTACCTTGCGTAATGCGTATATTCAAGGTCAATTTAATGTCTCTGTTAGAAGTATACTGAAACTTCGGAATGTTTTGTGAGAATGAAGTCTGCATCTTGGATTGATCAGCTGTTTCAATGTATGAAGTGATTCTGATCTTTGGATTACATTTCCAGCAACATAATATGTTAGCTACCATTCTTTTCTGTTTATTTAGGTGAGAAAATTCGATCCCTTCAAAAAATGGTACTACTGAGTTCTGCGTGCGTGGGAATTCTAGGTCCGTTTCATTTGGTCATCCTAGGATCATTTATGCTAAGATTATGGGCATAAGACTTGACATGCATGCAGCAACTAATATTATATTACTGTAAATTTGGTTAACCACATTTATGTGTACAGAATTCCATGTTTGTGTTGTTCCAGCCACAAACCAGACATTCAGCAATATGGCACCAGCATTTTTAAGTTGTGTTTAAAAGTCGGAGCACTTGTAGTTTTGACATTCTTCTTATCTAAGAATAGACCACTGCTGTTTGCAGAACATTTGTTATGCCTTCAAGGATGTGTCTCAATCCAATCCACAATAAGAAAGGGATTCTTCATCGGTCCAGCAATTCAACCTCCGAGGAAAGGTGCATATTCTGTCTTATAGCCACGTTGCAATTCATTGATTAGTTTGCATCCACTTCTGAGGAAAGGTGCATTTTCTGTAGTTATGGCATGGTGGAGTTTGTTAATTAGGTTGCATCCAGCAGTATGTAAAATGTATTTATGGCTGTATGAGGAAATTGATTAATTCTTATTACTTCTTAAAACAATATAAAAATAAATAAATATATTGTCTCTTGTGGAATTTTCTGGTTTCAAATAAAGGTAACCAACCAAAATAGAACTGCAGAGTATGTGTGTGATAACCATAGTCATGCATGGCCCTATGCAGTAATTAGGTGTGGATTCTTTGTATGATGTGGATCTCATCTCTGACACTGTACCTGTAATTTATATACTTCCTTTATGTGGATCTAATTGGCAGGTGGGGAGATAGTTCGTGTGCTATGGATTCTTTGTATGATGTGGATCTCATCTCTGACACTGTACCTGTAATTTTGGACAACTCCGAAATGTGGCATCATGTCCTGGCAACAAGCATGAAATTAGGTTCTAGAGGGGTTGCCCACGTTGAAGGAGTTAGCAGGACTGATCTCAAAGAAAAAAGTTTGTACTCAAACATTTTGCTTATCAATCGAACTGCAAGCCCACTTTCTTGGTATACTTACTCTTTCCTATGTTGCCTCCCTTCAAGTGATAAGCTATTGGATTGCTCAACTTTCTCTTCTCTTCTTTATTTTTCTTGTCTAGAGGAAAGACGGTGTCCTCTTGGTATTAGAAATTATCCATAGATGAATTTAATTCCATTGTTTTGCCAGATTGCAAAACCTTATTTATTTTGTTCATGAAAACGGACAAGAAGATTAGCTATGCAAGGATTAGTTCACAACAGCTGAAAAGTCGTATTAGTTATTATCTTTTTTTGTTCCCTTTACAAACCAGTTTGACTTTAAGTACTCACTCATGTGCAAGCTTTCATTTGCTGGAAAAATAGAGCTTGTAATAGGGGATAAATTGTTCTGAATTTTATATTGGATCTACTTTTGAATTCTGATAGAGTTACTGTATAGTTGATAATGGTAATCATTCAGGTTTGCAGAATGCAAGGATAGGAAAAATCACAGCTCCATTCTTCTGCCGTATTGGTTTCTTCCTTCAATGGCTGCGGAAAAACTACGGCATGCAGCAGAAAAGGTTAGTTAACCGCACGCTTTTCACTTTTTCAATTTAACTACTTAAATTTATTTTGGCACTCTATTATCTATTTGTGAAATTGAAATCCTTTATCAATCTGTTTCCTCATAGCAGTAGAACTAGATTGCTATTACATCTCCTACTCTGTTTTCTCGATATATTGAGTCCATTGGATTCAATATCAAACATCATATTTGTTCAAATCTATAAATGCAACTTATAATTTTTTTTTTCTTTATTAGCTTCCTTATATAATATGCCTAACTTTTCATTTGTTGCATAAGTGGCTGTGTAAGGTTGCTGCCATAAAGGCCATTGTCCATCTCCTCAGTGCATATGTTTTGAAACTACTAATAGATACACTCTCCTGTGGTTTGGTGGAATCTGTCATTTCTTTAGATCAAGGCGCTGCTTGGTGATTATGATGCTATGCATGTTCGGAGAGGTGATGTTCTGAAGACAAGGAAGGACAGGTTTGGGGTTGATCGAAGTTTGCACCCTCATTTGGACAGGGATACACGTCCAGAGTTCATTCTTTGCAGAATAGCAAAATGGGTCCGGCATGGGCGAACCCTTTTTATTGCTTCTAATGAGAGGACACCAGGCTTCTTTTCTCCTCTGGCTGTGAGGTTAGTGATCTTCCAACTCTTTTGTTAATCTTCATGTCCACTTGATTTTTATTACGCAATACAAGAGTAATATGCACTATTTCTTTTGGTCGCTTGAAGTATATAACTCTTATTTTCTTATGGTCTTCCTAAAACTCATTAGCCTGTGTCTCAGTCCACTATTATAAAAAACTTAGTTTCTGTAGCATTAGAAGTTCTCTACATTTTCTATTGGCGTATAAATCTCTAACAAGACTATACCTTTACTTAATATAAAATCTGTTACCTTCTTCAAAAAAAAAAAAACAAGACTATACTTTTACTTAAAAAGAAAACATCTGCTAACTTGTAGGGATTACTAAAAGCAAGTTCCTGGTTAAACGAATAGTGTTGGTTGTAGTAGGAGAAAGTATCAATCATAAAAGCTTGTGTTTCATTGCTGCATGTTAAAATGCATTTGATCAACTCCTGGAATACCATAACTGCTGCAGGTTTAATTTTTCTCGTCTTCATGATTAGCACTGCCTGCTATAATCTTTGTTACTATTTGCAGGTACAAGCTGGCCTATTCATCAAATTACAGCAGCATTTTGGATCCATTGATTGAGAACAATTACCAGCTCTTCATGATAGAAAGGCTTATTATGATGGGAGCAAAAACATTTATTAAAACAATGAAAGAAGATGATACTGATCTCAGCCTCAGCGATGATCCTAAAAAGAATACCAAGAAATGGGAAATACCTGTTTATACAAGAGACAATGAAGAATGTTAGCTCTCAGATGCTTAATTGGATTCTTTTGAGCATGATCATTTTATACTTTACACTTTTCACTCAATTTTTGTTGTGAATATCAGAGTTGTTAGGTACTACTTGAGAGAATAGCCTGTTTCTACATGTTGTAAATTATCATATTGACTTCTGTGGAATCAATTGCAAATATGCAAAGTATTGTTCGAGTCATTCTTTGTTAAATTCTTGAAAATGGTGGTGCCCGGATCAACAAATGTTAAATTTATCATACCTACATTTAGTCAAAATAGCACGGTATAGCTAGTTTTCGGACTGGTCATTCAAAAATAGCTAGCGTTTACTAAGTCAATGAAAAATAGCCACTATTTTGCTGCAACAGAGACCGATCCAGCATAATATACTGGAGTTCGGTGCACCTGTGTATGAACTCCAGCATATTATGCTGCACCGGTATACTTTGCTGGCTCTAGTATAATATACTGGAGACTGGAGCATCGGTGCTCCAAACTCCAGTATATTATGCTGGACCGGTATACTTGCTGGAACTCCAATATATTATGCTGGAGTTCTAGTGTACTTATGCTGGAACTCCATCATATTATGCTGGAGTTCCAGGATAAGTATGCTGGAACTCCAGTATAATATACTGTTATTTTCCGGGGTTTTGATCAGTGTTTTCACTCAGATTTATCTTTGCATGAAAAGTGGTTAAATTTCGATTACTTTTGAAACTGGGCTATTTTTGAACGACCAATTGTAAATCTGGCTATTTTTAAATTTCACCCCTGCATTTACGTTTCTTGCAGTGTGAGATTTAAAGAATCTCTTGTTTCAGAGACTCCTGAGTATCATAGAGATTACACTAATTAATTGTTATTGAAGAGAAAAAACTCAAACACAAAGCTGGGAAAACAACTAGGTTACTCTAGTACTCGTCCCAAGAAAATCATATGAAAGTTACTGAAATACTTTAAAATCATTATTATAACACAAATATCCATACCTTATTGAAGAAAAAAGACAAAGGAAAAAGAAAAAAGTATTTCTCTACCTTTGGACCAAGTAGAAAACAGATAGAAGGAAGAAGCTTTATTTCATTATGCACAAAAATACATGTTCTGACAAGATATATATTTGGAAAACCTCTAGCCACTACACAGGCGAGCATAAATTCAAAAGCCTAATTATGCTCTCTCTCTCTCTATAAGCTGTATTCTATTAAAAATCAGAATAGCTGAAAAATGGAAAAAATGGAAAGAGCTCTTTGTGTGCTATTCCAAAGTGCTGCTAGGACAGAGGCTCTTCCACAATGAAATCTCTTTGTCACTATAAAGCTTTCTGATTCCTCCATAAAAACCATCTGCTTCATTTCCCACTTCTCTATATTCCTTTCTGTTTATCACTATTTGCCTCCATCTCGAGCCGGGACTGTACTGTTTGAACTCCAGTAGCACTGTGTCTGCGAATAAGTTGGTCGCGAGAATGGTAATCATGAATTTCTCGTTCAACATACGTACAGTACAGGTTGACGACATAATTAAGTAATTAAAAACGTGCTCTCTCTAACACTTTAAGCTTCTAGATAAGAGTTATTTAACCATGATTTTCAATTGTTAACATAAGAGCTCACAACATATTTACTGATTGAAAGGTCAATATTTCTTACCACTGGAATGACAATGGCAATTCAATTTGTTGCCATTACAAGATTCCAAGTGTCCAACAACTCCATACCACCAACCTGCAGCACAATCAGCAGAACTTTTAGAGTATATTTCAATGCTAATCAAATTAAAAACAAAGTCATGAAATCAAGAAAGTGCTAAATTCTAATGGAATAACAATTAGCCTTTAATTTGACCAAAAAACACACCATATGCAAACTCTTTGCTTTTTCTCCACTGAATCTCAAAATGTTCATCAGGTTTCAGATCACTTAAGCAATCAGATACATGAAGAACATAAGGAGGAGTATCAACAGTTGGTGCTCTTAGCCTATTCCATTCTATGTTTTCTTCTACTATTCGCCTCGCCTGTGACGGATACCTGCAAAATTAGTTCATTCATAGTCAGGCTAAAGGACTAAAAGAAAAACCAAATCTTGAATTCATCTATCTTCCTCATTCAAGGGTAAAATTTTTACCTTGCTCTGAAGGTATTTGTGCTACAATCATAGCTAACTTCAGCATCATAACAAGATAGCATAAAACCAACATGGCCATTCTGCACCTACAAGAGAAAAAGCATCATCTATCAGCACTTAGTTCTAGAGATACTAAATGAATCAAGTTTTATATAAATAAAAGAATTTTTTTTGTAAAAACTACAACAGGAAAACCATTGATTTGTGTAATAGTAACCTGAAATAATGCAGGTAACCTAGTACAACATACAACAACCAACGATCTAGTACAATCCCACAAGTGAGGTCTGGGGAGGTTAGTGTGTACGCAAACCTTACCCCTGGAGTAGAGAGCGTTTCCCGAAAGACCTCGCTCAATGAAGACAGAAAAGACGAGAGAGAAGGGAAAGGGACAATATAACCTAGTACAACATGATATTGTAATGTTCTTATGAATCAGGTGTATAAAAGTTAAACTCTTCTG